AGTGATGCCTGTTTATGTGTCCTTGCTTCATAAGCCAGTTATAGACTTGGGCGGGTGGCCACTTTTATGCATGCTACCTGGATACAACCCTAGGTTCCTCCTGCTACTACAGCTATTTCTGCTCCACCTCCAGTGGTCTTCTCTGAGGAGGAACCTATGCAAATCGACCTGGTATGTTCTGCCCTGACTCCTGAGAGTAGCTGGCAGGCCAATCTCTGTCTCTACTGTGGAGGAACCAGACATTTTCTATGCAACTGCCCAGTGAGGTACAGTAAGTCCTCATCACAGTGCCCTGCTTATTTTCAAGTTTCTGGACCTTCTCCAGCTCATGTCATTCTTCCCATCTTGTGGTAGGAGGGAAAATCAAGCTTCAGGCATACGTATATTCTGGTGCATGTAGCTGCTTTTTGGACATTACTCTAGCAAAAAAGCTACAGATTCCACTCAGTCTCATGAAACAGAGACTTACTATAAACCTGAGTAATGGCACAATTCCCAGGGCCTATTACCCAAGAGACTGTACCTATTTTTACCATGAATGATTCGGGTCATCAAGAATTTCTATGCTTTGATTGTCACACGTTAGTCTGCAGTTTCTTGCTTGTGTATTCTTACCTCTTTGCTGCAGTGATTTTCCTGCCCTGATTCCTTTCACATATGTGGTTTAGCCGTGTTCACCTATGGGCGTTGCCTGCTATTCTGTGGGTTTTATTCCCTTCCCTTCCTGGCCCGCCTCCTAGTTTGCTTGCCTATTTAAGACATGCTCAGTCTAGCCCACATGGTCTGAGCAACTTCACAGTTCTCTGAGCTCCTGTTCATTGTTACTTGTGTATCCTGTGCCTGACTACCCATGTACCAACCCCGCCTTGGTTCGCCATCTGCATTTGTTTGCTACCCGTCCTGACCTCAGCTTGTCTCTTGGATTTCCTTTTGTCTGCTGCTCGCTGTACTCTGCACATGCAAGTGGTCTCCGCATCCTCAGCTGGGTGTACCTGGGGGCCACAACCTGATTCCAGCTTGCTGGTGAAGAAGCAGGCTGGGGCTTAGACTCAGTGCCCTAGGGAAGACCTAGTGATCTACAAGGGATCACTACCACAGACACTTGACATTGAAGTGCTATGCTCACCCATGTTCCCTGTAATTCTTGGGATCCCATGGCTGCAGGCCTACAACCCCAAGATCAACTAGCCAAATGGGAAGACTACATTTACACTGGTGTACTGGCGTGAGCACTGCTCTGCCCCTCAATCCACTAACCTTTTCACATAAAAATGGTCTTGTCCACACTATGAAAACGTGGACTTTACACAAAGGCAGAGAAATTTGAGAAGCAATCTGTTCAATTCTTGGGTCTAATAATATCCAAAGATGGGATTGCCATGGGTCCTCAAAAAGTGTCTGTTATTCTTAAGTGTCCTACCCCATTTGATAAAAAGGGTATACACATTTGTAGGCTTTGCCAATTTTTATCAGGGATTCATTAAAGGTTTCTCAACTATCATCGCCCCAATCACTCGTCTGTACACCCATCAGTATAAACGATTCCAGTGAACTCGAGGTCCAAGTGGCCTTTGAAAAATTAAAAGCCTTGTACACCTCTGCTTCAGTGCTACAGCATCCAGACCCTACTTTGCTCTATGTCCTGGAGGTTGATGCCTCAGAGGTCACACCAGGAGCAGTTCTATCACAGCACCAAGGGCCCAAGGCATTGCTCCACCCAGTGTTTTTTTTCTCATGCAACTTGAGCCAAGCCCAAAGGAATTATGATGTAGGTGATCTCAATACATTTTGTTGCTACAACCTAATCTGAAGACATCCACCTAGCAAGCTTCTGTCCAATGCTCTGAATCCAAAGTCCACTCTTTGAGGAAACAAGGGGGGCTTTTTTGGCACAAGGACAGATTTTTGAACCTCAATAGGTAAGACTCCAGGTTCTCAAGACTTTCCATGATCACCAGCTAGCTGGACATTTTGGGGTACGCAAGACAGTTGAACTCATCCAAAGGTCATTTTAGTGGCCCAGTCTAGACTGTAAAGACTATGTGGGGTCTTGTGCAACCTGTCTTCACAGCAAGGGTAGCAACACTAAGGCTTGGGGCTTGTTAAGACCGCTGCCAGTTTCAAATTGTCCTTAAAGAATGCCATCCATGGACTTAATAGTGGCCATTCTGGCAGTAGTGAATCAATTGTTCAAAATGGACCATTTTCTGCCAACGGTGGATACACCCTTGGCCACAGACAAAGCATGTACATTTTTCAAAGAAATAGTGAGACTTCATGGTCTGCCAAATAGCATTGTCTCTGACAGAGGTGTGCAGTTCACTTTCAGATTTTGGAGAGCCCTTTGCAAGGCTTTGAAAACTGAGGTCTGCCTATCATCCCCAAAGTAATGGCCAGACAGAAAGGGCCAACAAGACTTTGGAACAATACCTCCAGTGTGTTTTTCTACCTTCTCTCAAGACCATTGGGTTTCTGTTCTTCCTTTTGCTGAATCTGCATGCAACAATTCTGTTCATGCCACCAATAACCAATCTCCATTTCCATCCAATTTCACCCCTCCTTCATGCCAGACATTATTCTAGAAACATCTGTGCCTGCAGTCTAGGACAGGCTAACTTGTATTCAAATAAATTACCGCGTACTTCAGGAAACCATACAAAAGGCACAAGAGGATTATAAAAATCACTATAAAAAGGAAAATGAAAAGAAGGGAAAATCCAATCTTGAAGGTTAGACAAAGTTGGGCTGTCCATGGCTAACTTGAAACTCTCCTTCCTATCTTGGAACTTAGGACCAAGATTTATTGGGCCATTCCAGATAAAGAGGGAAATAAATCCTGTGGCATATGAACTTTCACTACTGCATTCTTATAAAATTCACCCTGTCTTCCACATTTCCCTTCTCAAACTAGCTGCTCCAGGTCGTTTTCCAGATAGAGAAGATCCACCTCCGCCACCAGTCACAGTTGGGGAAGAAACAGAATTCGAGGTGGAATCAATTCTGGACTGAGACAAAGGAAACAGATTCAATATCTTATTAAGTGGAAGGGGTATGCAACCAAGGAAAACCCAAGCTTTTAAATTAAGAAATACCCTGAAAAATTTTAATGCGTGCGCATCCTGAGGCTGCTCATTGGGGGGCATTATCAGGGTGTAAGCCAGGGAAGGAACATGTAGAGACCTGGCACATTTTCCAATATCCAACACGGCCATGCTCATTTGCACAGGAATGTGTGCAAACATAGTAGGTCAGCATTGGGTCGCGCTTGTGCATGCTGGTGCAGTCTTGTGCGCATTGGCACAAGCTACACACAATAGTTCCTGGTGCGCTCTGGCCTTTATAAGGATGGCAGATGCAGTCAGACATTGCTGACTGGTCTTCAGATCCCTGTAACCTGTGTTTCTGTGTGCTATATATTCTCGGATTCACAGATATCCGACTCTGCTTGCTTCTGGACTGATCCTTTGCTTCTCTCCTGGCTCTGATCTCGGCTTGCTCCATGGACTTGCTGTTGTCTGCTCCCTGTGTATGATACTGGCTTGCCTCAGACTACACTTCTGTTCATGCCTCTGCCTGACTAGCATGAATGAGCTTTGGTTCCTGTTCCTGACTACGTCTCCTGTCCAGCCCTATCTATTCAGATGCGCCTGCACGTTCCAGTGTGCCACCTGTACCAGCTGCCATTACCTCCTGACTATGTTTTCTGAAAGGGCTTCATCACCAAAGACTCATCTGGCAACAGCACAGCTTGCAACCTGTGTACCTTTGGGTCCCCTCGGCCTCAAGAGAAAAACCCTCTCATCACTTCAGACAGACCAGGTACGTGACAACAATTATCAGTTCCTCCCATCATGCCAGGCTACTAGGCGTAATCCTTGACTCTGACCTCCCCTTCTGGCTCCACATCCAATCACTGTCCACAGCTTGTGATCTTCACCTCTTAACTGTTTCCAGAATATGTCCCTCTCTTAATCAATGACACCACCAAGCTACTAATTCACTCCCTGGTTATTTCCAGCCTTGACTATTGCAACTCCCTCCTCACTGGCCAACCGCTTTACAGACTATCATCTACAGTCTATTGTCAATGCTGCTGCCAGGCTCATCCACCTCAACAACCATTCAGTGTCCCTCCACTGGCTTCCACTCACCCAATATATAAAATCCAAAATACTATTATCAACATGAAGAGCCATCCACAACTCTGCCTTGAGCTACATCACTAACCTCATCTCAAATTATCACCCAACTCATCCTCTCCACTCTTCCAAAGACTTCCGGCTCTCTGGCTCCCTCTTCACCTCTCCCATGCTCATCACCAAGACCTCTCCAGAGCCTCTTCCATCCTCTGGAGCTCTCTACCCAATCTTCCCAGCTAAACTTTGTCAATCTGCTCTTCCCTCAAAAACTATTTCCTTTTTTATCACGTGTCCCTCCCTTTTGGATGATATGAGAATGTTCCTTGAGCATTGTATTGAATTCTATTGTAACTGCACTGTCTCCCTTTATTTTGTGAAGCACTACACAAACTGTTGGTGCTATATAAATCCTAAATAATAATATGCAGAGAATTCCACTCACAAGATGTGATTTGTGAGCACCTTTCATTGCACTAGTACAGTGATCCCAGATGCTGTGATGGTGCTCCTCAGGGGTGGGTCCATGAAAACCAGGGTTCAGAGGAAGTGGGTTCCTGTCATTTAATCCCTTTGAAGACTGCCAGATTCTAGTCACCAAAAGGAGTTACTGGGGGGAGCATCTTCATGTTGAGAGTGGTTTTTGTCTTTTTACTAATTGTGGCCAATTAATTTTATTTTTTAAGTCAGAGTTCTGATTTAAAGAAAAGGTGCATGTATATGGACCATTTATTGATGATATTATTATGCTTTTACTTTCTAGAAATGCCTGAAAATTATGAGCTCTTCTGGAGTGTACATTACTTAATCAGACATTGGAGTGTGACCAGGCTTGCCCCATCTATCTATATTGTTGTGTTCCTTATGGGTCTTCCTCTCAATATCATGGCGATCGTCATGTTCCTGGTGAAGATGAAGGTCAGGAAGCCGGCAGTGGTCTACATGCTGAACCTCGCCTCTGCAGATGTCCTCCTTATTAGTGTCCTGCCTTTCTATATTGTCTACCGATTTTCAGGATATAAGTGGATCTTCGGAGAAGGAATGTGTCGCTTTGTCACAGCTGCATTTTACTGTAACATGTACTGTTCCGTCCTGCTCATGACAAGTATCAGCGTGGACCGTTTCCTGGCCATAGTCTACCCGGTGCGGTCTCTCCGCTGGCGCACAGTGACCCGAGCCTGGTGGGTGTGTGGTGTCATCTGGGTCATCTCATTGGCCAGCACTGTGCCTCTTCTCATAAGAGAACAAACCATGTTTGAGCCTCTACTAGATATCACAGCATGTCATGATATTCAGCATTTTGGGTTTCATTTTCAATTTGGTTTTACCTATTTCTCCATCGTTTTCCCACTTTTTAATTTCTTACCATTATTCATTACAATTTTCTGTTACGCTGGAATCATCCGCAGTCTCAGCAGATCAACATTCGATCGCACACATAAGAGATCACGAGCTATCCGCCTCACCGTGGTTGTGCTGAGTGTGTTTGTCCTTTGTTTTGGCCCAACAAATGTCATCTATTTAATTCACTATGCACAAATGGGAAAGTATGGGGACTACTCTGTGTATCTTCCCTACACCCTCTCTTCCAGTATCAGCAGTATAAACTGTTGTCTGGATCCTCTTATCTATTATTTTGCATCCTCTGATTGTCAGAGACACGTCTACAGCTTGTTGCGCTGTAAGAAAGATTATCGACCTCCAGTAGAAAGAAAAGAGAACCCCTGTACTAAAAGATCAGCAACCAGAGAGGACGCAGTCTGATCAGCTCGCTAACTGAGAATGAGTTATATTAACCACCTCTCTTTATTTGATCTCAGTCATTTTCTTAATGCATTCCCTGCATTAGGGTAAAAAACACTCCACTGTTTCCCCCATCTGTAAACAATTACAACCCTTGGCAAAAAGTATGGAATCACCACTCTTGGAAAATGTTCATTCAGTTGTTTAATTGTGTAGAAAAAAAACTAATCACAGACACACCTCAAAACTATTTTCATTTAACATTCCAACCTTCTGGTTTTAAGAAACACTTAAAAGAAAGAAAACTGTTTTTGCAGATCAAGCAGAGGAATAAAATATGGAATCACTCAATTTTGAGGAAAATATTATGGAATCATGAAAAAAACACTCCAGTACACTGTTGTGTTACACTATTTGATTTATTATTATTTCTCTGTGACTATCACTTACTTATCATTGTTCTGTGTCTTTAACCTCCCTGGCGGTATGATTATTTCAGATTTTTGGTGCTGAAAGCGGTACCATTTTTTTGCATGGAAATATGTATTTTTTTTATTGTAGGCTGTAATTTTTAGGAAAAACTCACTGAAATCTGTCCGAACAAGAGTCTAGTAAGCATCCCGGGTATGATAAAATTTGAAACACAAAATCATAAATTATAATTTAATAAATAATCATAAAAATAATATAAAAAAATAATAAAAAATTTAATTCAATAATATAATCAAACCAAAAACACTGAAATGTGAAATAGAGCGCCAAGTTCGCACATTGCTGAGCTCAGTCGCAAAATCGTTTTCAGTGTCTGATGACAAATTTCCCCCACGAATCATTATCACTCAATTCTGCAAGTGGTTCTGATTTACTATCGCTGTTCTCTAGCTGATCTAAACCGCTTTTGACCTAAAGGGACACTTTTTGGACGCCGTGGACATTTCTCAGTTTCCAGGCAAAAGAACAGACAAAATGCAGGCAGGGCGCAGGACAAAGCACTCGGGACAATATGTATGTGAAATTGGTTGAGACAGCAATGTTTTACTATGTAAAATGTAAAAAAAAAAAATGACATTTTTTAAAATTTTTAAATTTCCCGCCGCCGGCGGCGGCGGCGGCGCCCGTACGTCCCGACGTCACAGGGACAGGACACAGAAGCCGGATGCCGGCATCGGCCGAAGGAGATGGCCGGGGACGCTGCAGGGGACACATCGTGGGAGCGCAGGGTAAGGTAAGTGAAGAACACTTGCCGGAGCAGTGCCGCAGGGTAAGCCCGAGTGTAGCTCGGGGTTACCGCTTTTGGTACTGAAATGTTACCCCGAGCTACACTCGGGAATACCGCCAAGGAGGTTAGGCTGTATCCTCATGTCTAAACTGAGCTCTTTCTCACACCGTACTTGTGTATACCCCTCCCCTCTGCCTCTCTGGTAGTCATTTTACATTATTCTGTTCTCCTGTATGCATCTTTCCATGAGGCTTAAAACATTAACATTTTTCTACCTATGATTATCCTCCATTAAACAGAACATTCAAATGGTTTTTCTGACATCTTCAACATGTGAGTTTATTCATTGAGTTAAACTGTCTGACCCGATGCAAGGGATAGACTTAATACCACATTGTATAGTTGTATACATCACTGGAGATAGAGTTTTTGGTCTAGTAGTTGAGTCATAACATACACCACTAGTACTTTGTTGCACCACCTCTGGCTTATATATCTCTGAGGCATGGATTTAACTATCGATAAACAGCATTCTTCATCAATGTGGCTCCAACTTTCTCTTATTGCAGTTGCCAGATCAGCTTTGCAGGTTGGAGCCTTGTCATGAACCATCTTCTTTCATTTCCACCATAGATTTTCAATTGGATTGAGATCCGGACTATTTGCAGGCCACACCATTGACATTAGATGTCTTCCTTGAAGGAAAGTTTTCACGGCTTTTGCCCTATGGCAAGATGCATTATTATCCTGAAAAATTATGTCATCGGCACCAAACATCCTTTCAATTGATGGAATAAGAAAAGTTCCAAAATCTCAATATAAACGTGTGCATTTATTGAAGATGTAATGACTGTCATCTCCCCCGTACCTTTACCTGACATGCACCCCATATCATCGGGAAATTTGCATGTTTTCTTCAGGCAGTCATCTTTATATATTTCATTGGACCAGCACCAAACAAATGTTCCAGCATCATCACCCTGCCCAATGCAGATTTGTGATTCATCACTGAATATTACTTTCATCTAGCCATCCACAGTCCATGATTGCTTTTCTTTAGGCCTCTGTAACTTTGTTTTTTCTGTTTAGGTGTTAATGATGGTTTTCATTTGGCTTTTCTGTATGTAAATCCCATTTCCTTTAGGCGATGTCTTACAGGTCAGTCACAGACATTGACTCCAGTTTCTGCGCATTTGTTCCTCGTTTGTTTTTTTGTGCATTTTCTGTTTTCAAGGCATATTGCTGTAAGTTTTCTATCTTGACTCTTTGATGTCTTCCTCAGTGGTGTATTTAGCCCTAGGCACACACAAAAATCCCCCCCCCCCCCCCCCGCAGAGAGATCCTGACCAACAACACCCCTGTCCCCCACCCAAGAGAGCCTTCCACTACCACTGCCCCCCATACACCAGCCACCATCGCCCACGGCGTGAGAGGAAGACACTCACCTTCACAGCTCTGGACATCCCTGGGAACAAGAGTCGGGCTGTGCATACACCGTCATGAAACTCTCGGAGCCCATTAGGTCCCCATGTGTCCCTTCTTCCGTCCTTCTTCAGAGGGGCAGTGCTGCCTCCCTGAAAAATACCTTGTGGTAAATACACCTCTGGTCTTCCTTGGTCTATCAGTATGCTCCCCTTTTACAACCATCCCATTTGATTTGTACTTGGTCCATATTTTAGACACAGCTGACTGGGAACAACCAACAACTTTTGCAACATTCTGTGATGATTGACCTTCTTGAAGAAATTTTATAATCCTCTCCTTTGTTTCAACTGACATTTCTTATGTTGGAGCCATGATTCATGTCAATCAGCTTGGTGCAATGGCTCACCAAGGGGTGCAAGCATTCTTTTTTAACTGCAGACTAATTAGCAGATGTAATCTGATACAGATGTTTGTTTTATAACTGCAAAGTACATGGTGATTCCATAATATTTTCCTCAGAATTGAGTTATCCCGTATTTTTTTGCCTCTGATCTGCAAAAACAGTTGCAAGTGACTACAGTTTTCTATCTTTTTTATTTTTTAAGTGTTTTCTTAAAGCCAGAAGGTTGGAATGTTAAATGAAAACAGTTTTGAGGCGTGTCTGTGATTAGTTTTTTTTTCTAAGCAATTAAACAATTGAATGAACATTTTCACAGAGTGGTGATTCCATACTTTTTGCCAAGGGATGCATATGACTCCTCCACTGATCCATTGCTGTTCCATCTGCAGCACCACTGTTATCTTCCTCCTTTCATAGGAGACTCTAAAAGCCATGGAAACCTATCACGGTTTCTGAATTTAAAACTTTTTTGGAACTTACATTCAACATGCGCATTACAAAAAAAGAATGAATTGCAGTCATATTGGTCCACAGACCCGATTCAGCTTATGTTCTCTGCTCTTACATAATGCCAAGGACCAGCAAAGTAGTGGTACTTTGAGTGGTCATACTAGAATGATTCCTGCAGCTACAGGCATTATCCTGGTATCTTCTTTTACAAACAGCAGGAAGGGACATTCCCCCACCCGCCACCTTCCATGGTTTTCTTGGGCTCTCCCATCCCACCAGAGAACCCAATAATGAAGCCAGCAGTTCCGCTGGTTGACCATAGAGCTGATCGGAGACCGGATAGCCTCTAATCATCTCTATGGTCTAAGAAACCTATCAGAACTGTTATGGAAGGAAATATACAAATTTGTTTTATCATGTTTTAATTTTGGACTGTGTGAGATGAATGTCAAACAAGTCAAAGTAATACCTTCATTCTAAGGTTGACCTTCCCATCAGAGACAGTTTTTCTCAACTGAAACTGCTGAGGGTCTGCAAACAAGTCTATTTACAGAGCAAATGCTATGAACAATGGGCCTCTCCCCAAATGAAGCCTGGGAGAGATTCTTCTGATTGTCCTAGCATATAGGTGTCCTTTAATGAAACAGAGATCAGCGGCGATCCTAAGGATCGTTGCTGATCTCAGATCATTAGTGGTTTAGGAAACAGAGATGTTCAGCGGAGAACATGTTCTCCGCTGATCAACTCAGCACACAGATGGCCAGTGTATGAAAGGAGCGATGTCAGCCCTTCACTGGCAATCTGTGTTCTCCCTTCAGATTCGCCAGCTCAGAGGTGGAGAATCGGGAGAACTGCAAACAAAGCAAAGGTAATTTACCGCTGCTTAGTAAACGGTGTTTGACTGATCTCTTACTGTAATCTGTAAACAGCAGCCGTTTTCTAGCTTTCAAAGCGTTTGTAGATAGCTTCTCTCCTCATTCCTCAAGTGAGGCAAGCTAAATTTACCTAACAAAACACACCCAGCTCCACTGAACACAGTGATCCAGCACTAAATCTAATAAATCCTAGCACATATCTCGGAGGGTGCTACATATAGTACAGTATATTCATATATTTGATATTATTTTGCATTACTCTGCTTGTAATAAAGACAATTGCTAAGTGTCAGACTTGTGTCCTGTCTCGGTGCTGAATTGTACGGCTGAAAATATAAAACAACATAACAACCAACAAATTAATTTTAGTCCACCTGTGTTAGGATAGCCATGGCTAAAAGCCCAAACTTTGTGTGTTCTGACTTGTTAAGAAAAATAAACACTTTTGTTATGTTTTACTTCTATTTCATTGGATAGATTTCACCTCACCTCACTGTCCTATTGGACAACCAATGGGGTAATTAATGAGTATATCTCTGGGCAAAATATATATATTTTTTTTACCTTGTATAGCGAGGTAAAACAGTATGAAAAACCCTGTCAGGATTAAATTGCTGAAATCAAATAAGACTTTTATCACCCTGTGATTTTC